TACAAGCCATTACAATCATGTAGTTGTAGCAACTGTACCATTTTATCCTGATAAAGAAGTGCCACTCATCCTCATTAATAACTGAGAGCTGCATAGAGGTTTGGAAGAAATTATTGGTATTCTTTGAAACTGTCTCAAGCAGCATTGATTTTTGGGGCCTGACTGAGTTATTGTTCAGCATGTGACATTGGTTGTGATATATGTTCTAGGGTGAATATCAAAAACTAATTTTCCCATAAATTGTGTGCTCAAGAAAAGCCAATTTTGGAACAAAAAGGGGCATTTTGTATTTAAACCTGCCAGTCAGAGATTCGTATGATTAAGAATGATTTGAAAAAGGTTCTAGTCATATTTTAATATCATCTATGTTAAAGACAAGATGCTCTTGGCATGACAGAATAAGTGTAGTAATATGAAAAAATAGGGTGTTCTTTAACTTATTTTGAGTAGTTTATTTGAATCTAGGGTTACCCCTTAATCTTTTTGTGAACATTTAGGGTTATGACAAGTACTTAAACATGACTTTCATGCTTAATTCCAAACACTATTCAGCGTTAGAAATTTGCACTAGTCCTATAGTCCTTAGATGCCTCCGTGGTCTTGTGGTTGAGTGTCAGCCCGGAGAGTGGAAGGTCAGGAGTTGATCCCCAGCCGCGTCATACCAAAAGACGTTAAAAGATGGTACTTGTTGTTACCCTGTCTGGCGCTCGGCATTAAGGGGCTAAAACAAGGACTGGTCGGGTCGGAGTCAGTATACTGTGTCTGAGTGGGGTATTCATGTTAGACTGCGGCATGGTATCTCAGTGAGCTAGCACTATAAATCGGCATCAGTCCAGACTAGTACAAGCAACCACACACACACATGCATGCACATCGCTATATAAGTGTAATAATCTTGGACGCGACGTTAAACCCAATTTCACCTCACCTCACCTATAGTCCTTGCCAAACTGCCCAATGGTTAAGGTATTAAGAGGACCAGTAGAAATTTGCACTTTTAAAGGGATTTGCTTTATGTTGTCATTAAAAGGACTAGTGGACTAAAACTGTTAGTTTCTATCGCTGCTATTACACTCACTAGAGTACCACACAATCAAATCAAGTAGCAGTATATGCATTAAACAATTCCATAATTTCTGTACATTTTTTATCACAGTGTCATCTGCATTGTGCAATGTGGCCTTTTTGTATTTCTACACAGATGCATTTTCTACAACAAGGGTGTTTGTGTTGGGTTCATGACAATATACATTGTTATTTCCAGCGGCATCGCACCTCTCTAGGTGATAACACAGTACTTGACGCCGGCTCTGTTTGTTTTCTTCTCTTTATGTGACATTTCGTCTTTGTGTTCACCCTGGAGATTGAATGATTACCCTGCCACTGAGGCGAAGGTGGCAAGGTGCAAACAGCCCCACGCGTCTTTGTCCTACTTTGTCTTACATCACTCAACTCACCTGAATCTCAGCTTTAAGTTAGCTGAGGATGGACTTGGAATGCATCTTCGTATATTGTCTGTCCTTTCGTTGGCAATGTGGCTGGTGGTTTCATTGTTTTTTTTGTCTTGTTTCAACTTTTGAAAGTTTATTATTTATTATGTGATGTTTTAGCATTCTACTTTCACTGTAAGAATAATAATAATAATTTGGGGCATCCACAGCACTCAGGACTCAGCTCACCTGAATCTCAGCTTAAGTTAGCTTTTAGAAGTGGAAATTGTGATCGTCATCTTCCATTGTCAGGGATAAGAATTTTCCATGGATGTGCCGAATTCAGCGGATTGGATTATGTCAAGCGTCACTTTTGTTATGCATGACATTACAATATACACATAAATCATACTACCACCTTGATCCCCAGCTACGTTTCAGTGTTTTTAAAAATTCTATTCTCATCCCATGATCTGATCGTCCTTTTGTTGGCCTGGTGTGTATACATCAGGGGTAAAAACTTACTTTTAGTCCACTAGTCTTTACATTGTTAACCCATACTTGCCGTAAAAGGCGACTATGCTTGTCGTAAAAGTCAACGAACGGGATCGGGTGGTCAGGCTCGCTGACTTGGTTGATACATATCATTGATCCCAATTGCGTGGATCGATGCTCATGATGTCAATCACTGGATTGTCTGGTCCAGACTCGATTTAACTTTACAGACCGCCATCATATAACTGGAATATTGCAGAGTGTGGCGTTAGACAACAAACAAACAGTACAATGATAACATATAGTAAAACCCTTAAAAAGGGCAAATTTCAAATAGTCCTAATGATACCTTAACCATGTTAACTATTGGCCAGTTTGGCAAGGACTACAGGACTAATGAGTGCCAATTTCTATTGCTGTTGACATACATATATGATACACAGCCCATCTGTTGCTCTGCCGGCCTTAAGAATTTGTACTTTTTAAGACTAGTCCAGAAACTTTATTTCACCCAGGTCCTCAGAATTTGTTTGCATTTTATAACAGTTTCGTTCAGTTCCAATTTGTAGCATATTGAAGCATCACAAACCTGTTTGGAGTTACAGTCTTCTAATGCTAAGTGAATAAGGAAAAAGATCATTGGATTTTTACTTGTCCCCAGCACAATTTAATATCAGACTAAGTGTGAATTTCGCTTGCTTGTGTTTGCAGCATCCCGCCACCCATTTTAATCATATTTAGACGTTTAATCAGGTAGACCGAGTGTACACATGTAATGGAATTACAACACCCAAATTAAATATTTTGGTAACTTGTTTAAAGAAATTAACACAACTTCCAAACAATTTGTCTAGCTCCTTGAGAGCCCAAAGTGCACACCTCATTTTGCGAAACGTAACTGCCTTGGTGGAATGTCTCCCTATTTAACAGATGAGTTGTGATACTTGTTGCGGTGTTGTTCATCCATGTATAGGTATGATAGGGTCTTCTATAAGTGACTTGCCATGGCTTGGAGAAGCCCAATGGATACAGATGTTGCAGATGCACATGGTTTGCACTCAAGATATTTCTTGTTCTAGTTTCCTGGTAATAATCACATGATGTGGAGCATTTCATGACTCCTGGTTTGAGTGCCGGGCTGCATAAGCTAGTCTGTTGAAGGGCTCACGATATGGAACTGAGCTAAACCACAGGCACCTATAGGGATGTTGTACTGGACCCATTAACACTTTGTTGGTGCCTATTGGGATGTCTACAGTAAGGGACACATCTGGTTTGTTTGGCTTTTTGAGTTGCAGCTGCAGTCAGAAATATTTCAGCTATTTCAAAATAGTCGTGTCTTTTAAAACACTGTAATTTTCAGGTTTTATATTTCTTCTAATTTTCATATTATTTTTTTATCTGCAGTGGTAGAAACAAACAGTTTTAGTCCACTAGTCCTTATAATGATAGCATATAGCAAAACCATAAAAATGGCAAATTTCTACTGGTCCCAATGATACCTTAACTATTGGGCAATTTGGCAAGGACTACAGGACTAGTGCCAATATCTAACATGTCTAACGCTGATCTGCAGTTTCTGTAAACCAACATTAAAAAGTCTTACCTTGGCCATTAGTTTCTTGTCAACATACATATGCAGTCAGTGTATTAGTCATCACAAGAGCCCCAGAAAAAGGAAATGCAATGAATACCATTGACTGAACTGCATATAATGTTACTCAGGGGTAAAACTATCTCAAATGGCTATTCAGCATCACACAATATTGAGCATCTGCAGCTGAGTGATCATCGTTTATCCTTTGATATGAGATCCTGTGTAGATGGAGGCTTCAGCTCTCGATGATGGTAAACCTGTAATTCGACTAACACAACTTGACATGGGTTCAGAATTACAAAAATCTTGAGCAAGAAATTTGTTTTTTTAAATCAGTGTCATATGGATTCAACATGTTCTGAGGTTTAGAATAATATTTGGCACATGAAGTTAATTTTACAGTTTATTTCAGCAGTTTGAATTGTACAGCAACAGCGACAGAAACAAATATTTTTAGTCCACTAGTTCTTATACATGATCACATATAGTACAAACCCTTAAAAATGGCAAATTTCACTTTGCTGTTATGATACCTTAACTATTGGGCAGTTTGGCAAGGACTTTAGGACCATTGCTAATTTCTATCGCTAAGAAAACAAAAAAAGATCAATGAGCAAACATACAATTTAGAAAATACAGTTAATAACTTCTGCTCAGTGTGCAAACAAACATAGATGGTTATTGAATAATTTAGTCATGTAATATGTAAAATGTTGGGACATCTGTTAATCGGCAGTATCGTTTACAATGGCCCATCAGTATTAAATCACATCTAGTTGTTATCAACAATGTTTTTTTTAGCTCACCTGAATCTAATGTGATTCCTCGTGAGCTTTGGGGTGGTTGGCTAGCCCAGTGGCTCATCACAGGGTTTGAGTTACAAGGCTGAAGAATACATGGGTCAATAAAAAATACTTTGTGTGTGTACAGCTACGTAGTTCTGTGGGTTTATCATGTTAATCAAGTTAATCTTTAGATTACTGACATTAATTGACAACATGATTGATCGATCATGATTTTTAATCTGAAAACATTAATACGCACAAATCTCATGCTACATCCACTCAATAATTAATTTGTCCTTTTTAGAAAAAAGAAATTAAATTGTGACAAATTTAAATTATGATTCTCTGAAATTGTTTGTTAATTCCATATATGAAGGCCCAGAAAGCATGTTAGATGAGTATGGATAAGGAGAACTGACCATTGTGTTACTGAGCCATTGTAAATTGATACCCTGTGATGACTCGCTAACATTTAGATTTAATGGTTGCTGTTTTAAGATTCTCCCTGATAGATGGAAATATCTCCTTGATACTAAATACTCAACATGCTCAATATCCCTGACACACTCTGACAATTTATCACATGTGTGTGTATATAAATGTTGCAAATGTCCAAAAATTCAGGTGAGCTTCAGAGCCTTTTACTTCTTTGGTTATGTGGATTGTCAGATGATCTTTTTTTTCTGTTAACAGGGAACTCTGCAGCTATGGATTGTAAAGACTGAAACCATCTGCCAGCCGTGTCCATTACTACCCACACCGTGTTATCTGTCATCGAATTTCATTATTCTGAGGACTACTCAGAATTCAGAAGTATGCTGTTGGACATGTGTAGCATTGTCACAAGTGAATGAGTCTTGAAAGGAACCTGTTGCCACCGATATTGTGATATTACCAGAAAGCTTTAATCTGTGAAATCCTTGTTTGAAAACTTTATTTTCAATCTGTGATTTAGGTAGGTTGAATAGAAAGCCATTTTTATCTTGTTTTTTGGTTTTGTTGCCGTAATGAGAAGAAAACTATTTTATGGAGTTGTGTTCTGTTTGGCAGCAGTGTATCTTCTGTACTATGCTCTCCCCTGTGATAACGGACCCAAAATGTTCATGGTTCCGAAGGAACCAACCAAGTTCATGTATGACAACAAACACCATGCCATTCCTTACGACGAAAATATGGACATCATATTCATCGGTGGCATGCCAAGAAGCGGGACTACTTTAATGCGGGCGCTTTTAGACGCTCATCCCGAGGTGCGATGTGGTGAGGAGACACGGGTGGTCCCACGGATTCTCGGCATGAGAACCCAGTGGGAGAAGTCTCCGACGGAGAAGAAACGGTTAGCCAATGCCGGAATCACTGGAGATGTTCTAGACTCTGCTGTGCGTTCTTTCATTCTGGAAATCATTGCCAAACATGGCGAAGCCGCCCCCCACTTGTGCAACAAGGATCCCTTCACATTAAAATCTGCCATATACCTTAGTCAGTTGTTCCCCTACTCCAGATACATCCTGATGGTCCGTGACGGGAGAGCTGTCGTACATTCGATCATCACACGCAAAGTCACCATATCTGGCTTTGATTTGAAGAGTTACAGGAAGTGTCTGCAGAAGTGGAACCAGGCCGTCGAGTCGATGTATGGTCAGTGTTTGAGAGTAGGGCCATATCGCTGTATGCCTGTGTACTATGAACAACTTGTGCTTCATCCCGAACTGTGGATGCGGAGGATCCTCAACTTCCTGGAGCTCCCCTGGAATCAGTCGGTGCTGCATCACGAGGACTATGTCGGCAAGCCAGGAGGAATCTCATTATCAAAGTAAGTACAAACTGACCAAACTATCATGGTGAGCTTGTCGGCGCTTTGTTGTATTTATTCCTGAACCAGTGCTTCGAAATTAAACATGAGTATACTAGTCATAATGGGGTTGTGGTGTAGCGTTTGCTCGTCTCGCCGAAGGTCCGGGTACGATTCCCCACATGGGTACAATGTGTGAAGCCCATTTCTGGTGTTTCGAACCATTATATTGTTGGAATATTGCTAAAAGCGGGGTAAGACCAGGCTCACTCCTGGGTGTTAAAGGGCAAGTTCACACGGAAATTAACCTATTTTTCTTGTACTTTTTCCACATTAAAAGTGTTAACCTAGAAGTGTCATAGACAAAAATATAAAGATATCACAATTAATTAACTTATTTTTCGCATTAAAACGATTTATATTTTTCACATTTACCAAGTGTTCTATTTCCACAACAAAAACACCATGGCTTATGCCCCTTGCAATATGACGTCATTGGTGCCAATTGATAAACATTATGACGTCATCATGCTTTGTTAGAGCCGCTTCACGTGGTGTAGGTCTAGGTGTGTGATTCTAGCGTCTCAGATGCCAGCCAGCATAGTGTTATGCTGAGTCACCACTGCGCCGGAGTGTGTCGTAAGCCATGTTGTTTTACCGCAAACTGGTACTTGATATTTTTTGCGTTGAGAATAGACAGGGACCCAGTTGAATTGGCACCAATTACGTCATAATCTAAGGGGGATAACTCAGGCCTGTTTAGCTCGAAAAACGAAGGCCTCATAACGGCATATCATTTTCACACTATTGTGAGCTTCCTACTTTCACTGTGAAAAAAATGAGTGTATATTTTCAAGCACAGATACTAATTAATTCTAAAATTGCGTTTTGTTTAGAAAAAGAAAGAAAGTGATTTTTGCGTGTACACTTCCCCTTTAAGACACTTGCAGCAAAGTGTTCTCTCTAAGATACAGGCCATGAATTCCAGTTATATCAAAAGAACAGAAATAGGACTTCAGTGAAGCTATTGCTTCAAAATGCAGTTGATGGTGTTTCTTTTCTGCCCCTATTTGTGTTTGTTAACAAGTAGCTAATTGTTAAAGATGGTATTGAATGGGCAACTAAGTATACATGTCCTGGTATCGTAGTCATATTGACCTGTTAGATCACTCATAAGCTCCAGGGGTAAAATAGGTCTTCAGCAACCCATGCGTGCCGGTAAAGGCGACTATGCTTGTTGTAAGAGGCGACTAACGGGATTGGGTGGTCAGACTCGCTGACTTGGTTGATGCACGTCATCGTATCCAAATTGCGTGGATCGATGCTCATGATGTCAATTACTGGATCGTCTTGTCCAGACTCGATTATTTACAGACCGCCATCATATAGCTGTAATATTGCTGAGTGTGGCGTTAAACAACAAACAAACAAACAATATAAGCGCCACCCCAAGAGAGTGTGGTAGTTCCTACACAGATGCAACTATGAGTTCATGAAAACAAACCATTACTGTAATTTAGGTTAGTTGATGGAACCAGGGTGTGCTCCATGAAGAGTGAATGCTTTAACTATGAGTGTAACCTACTGACCAGGGCCCTGTTCTGCTTGGCAATCTCACCACTATGACTGTTGTAACTGAGCCTCATTCTTTACCTAGACTTGAGACCCGTGAAGATTCCAGGGTAGAATTGGTCTTCAGCAACCCATACTTGCCGTAAAAGGCGACTATGCTTGTCGTAAAAGGCGACTAACGGGATCGGGTGGTCAGGTTCACTGACTTGGTTGATTCATGTCATCGATCCCAATTGCGCTGATCGATGCTCATGCTGTCAATCACTGGATTGTCTGGTCCAGACTTGATTATTTACAGACCGCCGTCATATAGCTGGAATATTGCTGAGTGCAGCGTAAACAACCAACCAACCAACAAACCTAGACTTGATAATCGTAGCACTAAGTTCCTTTGTTGAATGGGGCCCTGGAGTACGAATAAGAATCTCTTGATCTGAATGAGATCTTTTGGAGAAAATAGAAGTAATTGGTTGAACGCTATAAAAAGACATGGTATTTGAAGCATGTCACATTGTTAGTAATCAGTTAGATATTAGTATTATTCACAATCAACATGATCAATGCATGAACAAATTTGAATTGACACAAAATGTTTCTGTTTCAAAAGTGCAACAACGTTGACACCTTGGGCCTTCCGTTAACCAATGTCTCCAGTGCTGTGTCTTATGGATTTCTGCCTTTCAAAAATATTTACTTTCTTTTTGGAAAAACATAAAGAGTGTAAAAGAATTATCTTTTGAGGAAGTAAAGGGATGAAAATAACAAGCTTTCAGGTGAAAATCACACTTTAATCTGACACATGAATTTCGGAAAATATTTTCTCACGCAATAACCAATATTTGATTTTGAAAAAATCAGGTTTAGAGTTTAGACTCTCTTTGTGGCATGTGGAATTCTGGTGCAGTCATGTTGGTCAAGTGGTAATAAACTAACAAGGGCATGTTGGAATCCCCAGTGTTTGATCCCCTGTCTGTTTAGTGTGAAGGGCAGACCTAAATAGCCCCAGCTATGTGTAAAGATGGCTAAGTCGCTGTCAACAGCGTCTCCAAACATCAAAACACGAGCAGACTTTGCTTCTCAAACTGTTTGTGCATGGTTGGCCCAGCTTATGATTGCTGTACAAGCAATTGGCTTTTATCTTGTTTATTGGCAATTATTATTTTCATAGTGATACACTGTGTTGATGAAGGGTCATAGCTTACCAAGTTGATGACTCAAGGACGAGAGGTTGCTGCCTTTTTGTTTTGCTGGTTAGGTCATATGAAGCATTCCGTGGGAAATAAATTATGTTTTAGGTCTTACTACATTAATTAGTACATTTTCATCCCACAAACCTCATTATCAAAGACCCTTCCCCACATCTTTTTATTACCCTGAAGAATCTTCAAATATAATTTTGTTCTCTTCTTTCTTTACTTGATGAAAAACATCATATTCATAGTCATACCAATAGCCTCACTCACAGTCTCTGAATCATATTATTTTCCCTTTAGCCCAGCCCTTACTGTAATGGTTGGTTGGTTTGTTTCTTGTTTAACGCCGCACTCAGCAATATTCCAGCTGTATGATGGCGGTCTGTAAATAATCGAGTCTGGACCAGACAATCCAGTGATTGATATGAGCATCGATCCACGCAATTGGGATCGATGACATGCATCAACCAAGCCTGACCACCCGATCCCGTTAGTCTCCTCTTTCGACAAGCATAGTCGCCTTTTACAGCAAACATTGGTTGCTGAAGACCTATTCTACCCCGGATCTTCACGGGTCTTTTACTGTAATGCTATGGCCCTAAAAGAGCAAGTCTAGATTTTCCCCAGGTTCCTGTTCTCCCATCTCATTTTGGGGCTCCTTTTCAATTTATATTGAGTTACTGTGTATTTGTTTCTGTCAAAATTATATATTTTCAGAGTTAGTCTATCCCACGGCCACCAAATATTCATGCTTCATGTGAATCACACCTGTCGATTTTCAATGTACACAGATGCATTGAATTCTTTTTTTTTTTAAAATATAAATGCCTTCCACTTCAAACATTGTCAAATTCAAATAACAATTGGATGAAAATCTAAAAAGAATTATTTATTGTGGAAATGGTTTTTTTTAGTAGAGCAAGGTGATGACGTGGACCTACATCATTGTACATGTTGTAGAAGTAGCTCACTTGACACAGACACAAGCCTGTCCATTATGAACTTGAGAGTTGAAAGTTCAGGTAGTTTTCACTGAGGAAGCATGTCACATAAGATAATAAGCTGAAATTAATTGTGGACTTGTCAGATTTGTTTCTTAATAAGAAATGGCTACCCCTAAAACTGCCACCTAAACACTTGACACTAGAAAGATATATGGTTGCAAATTTCTGCTTCAATGTACTTATTTGGATGACTGAATCTGACTTCCAAGGGTCAGGTTTCGTTGTCCCAAGATGAATGATGATTTTATTTTGTCGTGTTTGTGATGAGACTGACATGACTGAATAAGATGTTAAATGAACGAGTTGTTTGATCAAATGAAACGCTTTTGGGAATATTTGGATTTTGCTACCTGAGAAATGAACATGCCATCACAGCGGTCAAACTAAAATTTTTAGTCCACTAGTCCTTATAATGATGACACATAGCAAAACCCTTAAAAATGGCAAATTTCTACCAGTCCTTTTGCTACCTTAACTATTGGGCACTTTGGCAAGGACTACAGGACTAATGCCAATTTATGATGCTGCCATCATGGCTACCTGAGCAGAAATTAGTAGCATACAATTTATAATGATAGTTTGTGAATGAGGGCATTGAAATTGGAAAATGTTGTGTATGAATATAATTTTTTTCTTTTATGGAATTTTGATATTTTTATTTTTGAATGATGTTATCAAAACAAAAGCCTAATCCAGCTGTCGGTTTCCCCACTGTGATTATCCACAGCAGGAACACATGTTAAGTGGGAAGCACATGGTGCTGAAGTAACACATGGAGATAACAAACTCTACGCGCCTGATGAAATTTGTTCATTCTACACCAGTGTACACTGTATATGTAGTTATCATGGTTATGCACTCTCGACAAATTAGTCACCATTTAGATTTCCCCACTATTCAAAGATATATATATAATATATGTCACAGGCTAGATACAGAACTGTATAAATACCATGTACTTTGTGGATGTAATTTATTATAGCAATCTTGCAATTTGCTATAGCAACTTTAGGGTTGCACCGATATGAGAGTAACCATTTGGTTTGTGTGGTGTGTGTGTGGTTGCAATGATATGAGAGTAACCATTTGGTTTGTGTGGTGTGTGTGTGGTTGCAATGATATGAGAGTAACCATTAGGTTGATATGGTGTGTGTGTGGTTGCACCGATATGAGAGTAACCATTTGGTTTGTGTGGTGTGTGTGTGGTTGCAATGATACGAGAGTAACCATTTGGTTTGTGTGGTGTGTGTGT